GGGGACTAGCAATCCCAGCTGCATCTACAGCTATGGCTGCTACCACTGCTGCTACTGCTGCTTCTGCTGCTGCTACCCCTCTTCCTGTCAGGAAAACTATCCATGACTGTTACGAGTGGGGCTGATGTGTATTAGGCCTTGAGAAGGATGCCCCAGCAGCTTCTGCAATCTCCTGCAGCTCCAGGAGCACGAGGAGGAGGTCCCGCAGTTGCCAGCCTCGCCGGAAGAAGCCGCGAAGGCTGGAAACATGATCTTGGCTTTAGGGATCAGAATTAGCAGGCGTCGGCTTCAGTTTCTTGTGTTTAGGTGTTAGTGAGGACATTTTGAGGTATCCAACAATTTTAAGTCCGTTTCCGGCCTGCCCATACCTGATTATGGGGTTGCATCGCTGGTCCCTACCGTGCATTTCATGGTGCGCAGTTGGAACCAAAATAGCTAGGCTTTCCACAATGCGACGATAATTAGATTCCGAGGTCGTTGTGCACTTCACACAAGACGATCTGCAAGCAGGATGCCTCTGCAGCTTGCGTTGCTAAGGCCTGTACAGTATTCTGCAAATCTTCCAAAGTTGTGCTCTGTGGGGCCTTCGAAAGAATGCAAAAACCAGATAAGTCCAGTGCCACACCCAGCGTGTATGGCCTTGCAGGTGTGTAGGTAATTAATGACGAAGCGCAGTCTAGGCTCTACTACAGATGGCCTAGGCACAATTGACCTAGGCAGACTGGGCACATTCGTCATCAAACTGAACCGAAAGCCAGAAACTCAAAATCCCGAGGCATCTACGCTAAATGCCTAAACCCCATATCATCAGGGTCAGTGAAGTAAACCCCCATGGAGTTGGTTTGGCATTTCGGAGGCGCTGCCCCCTGTGGCCAGTTCTCAGCGCCGTCCACCAGAGGCTGTGAAGTCAATACAGGTTCAAGGTCTTCATTGAGCTTAGGGTTTCAAGCTCAGAAATTCTGATGCGGGCTTTGATTAATTCGGCTCCGCTTCTAACACGTGGAGGGGCAGTGCGTAGGCAAATGCCCAATCTTTGATGATAAGTATTGCTGCCTATGTTTGCTGATCCTTATAGTCTTGACTATCACAGTTGCAAACTGGCCGTGCGTTGTATGTTTTGCTCGTTATGTTGCTGTTGATTGTCTCTGTTCGAAGTTGCAGGTGCGCCTGAGGTAGTTTGCGATGATGAAGGAACTCAAGGTGGTGGTGGTGGTGGTGGTGGTGGTGGTGGTGGTGGTGGTGGTGGTGGTGGCGGCTGCGGCGGCAGTGGCGACGGCAGCAACTGTGGCAATTGTTGCATGCTTGCTGCTGCTGCTGTTGTTGCGGTAGCTAGGACGCGTCCGAGCCTGCTGCTTACACTATGAGGGGTCGTTCTGTCACCATTCCTGTTGTTCGGGCTCCTCAACTTACTGAACTTCGTGTACACTGCTTCACCACTACTAGCCCTACACTGCAAGAAATTCTTGTCCCTCAGTGAGGGATGATAATCGCTGTTTTGTTTTCGGCTGTTTGCTTTTCTGTGTTCCGCAGGGACAACTCTCGTCATTCCGATTGGGGTCACCAAACCTTCTGTCCTGCTTGCCAGTGTTGTCATGCCTTTGCTTTAAGGTTCTCGGGCTGTCAGGTGGGCAGGGAGGAAGATGGTGGTGATGACTTTCTTGTGGGTTGTCCTTGTTGGCTCGTCACGAACTCGTTTGGGCTGAAGGGTTGGCACTGATAGTGCTCGTGAAAGCCATTTTTGAACTTGTTCAGCTATTCCTTTTGCTTTTTGGAGCACGCTGCTGCCATCACTATTGAAGTAAGAGACCTCAAGGGCAAGTTTCCATGGGACTGTTTTGAAACATCGCTGGCTTGGAAGGGGTCAAAGATCCGGGCTTTCAGACTGTGTTTCTTCCAATGCACAGGTCAAATTCGAAGATGCAGCGTGGGTGACTGAGACCAGCTTCTATACAGGTGTCAGCACCTGGAGTATGTCATGAGGATTCTTTGCACTTGCCTGAAAAATCCAGCTCTGCAGGTCGACACCTTCCCACTTGTTGCCGTGGGCTGCGCTTCACGCGCCGCTAAAGCAGGGCCACAGGACTGTAGCTGAGATCCGACCAGAGGGCAACACCCTGCCACGGAAATGTGATATTTTCAATTAGAGTAGAGCAGGCGGGCATGACCGTGCACTTAGCTGTTGTGCATGCAGCAGGATCAAACTAGCTGTGCAGCCCTCAGATGTTTGCATGGCAGAGGCGGTGCCAGCTTGAGGCAGTCAACAGTTTTCTTGACCCCGCCTCTTTTGCACTGTAGGAATAAAGTACATCTCATGCCGATATGCTTGACTATCGACTCTTGGCTTTGTGTCGGTCTGTTCGAGGCCCAGGCCGTGGTCCTTGCAGGAGAACAGTCATCCTCTTCGCAGGACCAGAGCTGATGAACCTATGCGTAGCATGAGTTAAGGTTCCTGTGATGCTGGGATGGGATTCGGGTGATGATGGTGATGAGTCAGTGAGGTTGAGACCATGAGCCGCTAGCAATGACAGTATTAATAGTTGCAGCTGTAGTAATAATCATAGTATTCATAATTCGTAATCATAACAATAACAAGAATAAGAATACTTTAAAAGTAAGAGTAAGAAGAGTAATAAGAATAGTTATAAATAGTATAGTAGCTTCCATTTTCTTTTCCATTATCCCAATATAGACCCAATATATACCCTATGCTCCTTATATAAACCATTATGGTAGCTTCCATTTTCTTTTCCATTATCCCCATATAGCCCCAATACATACCTTATAATCATAAACATAATAATACTAATAATAATACTAATAATAATACCAATAGTAATAATGCTAAAAATAATACAAATAATAATAATACGAATAATAATACGAATAATAATACTAATAATAGTAACAATAATAATACTAATAATAATACGAATAATAATACTAATAATACTAATAATAATACTAATAATAATACTAAGAATAGTAACAATAATAATACTAATAATAATACGAATAATAATACTAATAACAATACTAATAATAATACTAATAATAATAACAATAATAATACTAAAAATAATACGAATAATAATACTAATAATGATACTAATCATAATACTAATAACAATACTAGTAATAATACTAATAATAATACGAATAATAATACTAATAACAATACTAATCATAATACTAATAATAATATCAATAATAATACTAATAATAATACGAATAATAATATTAATAATAATACGAATAACAATACTAATAACAATACTAGTAATAATACTAATAATAATAACAATAATAATACTAATAATAATACTAATAATAATACTAATAATAATATCAATAATAATAACAATAATAATAATATCAATAATAATAATGATATCAAGACCCTCCCGAAGCGCCTGGCCTAGGAGCTCGGCTCGGATCTGGGGATGGTGTCGCTGAGCCAGGTGCGAAGCCTAGGCCCCTAGGCCCCGAGGGTTTAGGGTTTAGGGGTTTAGGGGTTTAGGGGTTTAGGGTTTAGGGCTAGGCCTGCTTCTGCAGTATACCTGGACCTGATGCCTCAAGGTACCTTCTGGGTCCAGGAAGACCCTATAGGCCCTAGACCTTGATCCCAAGCTGCTTTGCTTGAAAATGCGGCATGCGCGATGAACAGGACTCGAGTCTCCTGTTTTCGTATGCACAGCCTGCAGGCGAGAAATGAGTTTTAATATCCTTACGGATGCCAAGTACTTAATGAATTAATGCCAGCTCAATCTCTTCTTGACAACACCCAGAAATCATCTTCATGAGAACTACAAATTGACCCGTTCGAACCAAGTGCTGACCACCAGGATATTTGCCATGACCAGCAGAACCTAGTAGCAAGACTCCACTTCAAAAAGAAGTCCAAGCTGCAGTTTGACAGGCGCTACATCTGGTCCACTGGTGCTGGGCGTCTGCCAGCCGCGTCTTCTCGTGCTTGGAGAGCTGTTTACGTGTGAGCAGCCACAGTGCCGAGATCAATTGTCTTGATGCCATTTTGCATGCCTTCTCTCCGGTGGATACGCACTCGGCCCCCTCTTGCCCGTCAGTCAATGGAGCGTTTAAATGCACGCTTGCGCTCCTACCCACTATAGATATTGCGATGAAATCTTTGCAAATGATAGTAGTTTCCATTTTATTTTCCATTATCCCAATATAACCCCAATATACCATAGTAGAATTATCCCTATACCCTATATAACCTACTTTGTTGCCTCCAGGCCCTGGTCTTTCCCTCTTCTCGTAACGAATGCAACGCCTGCCAGGCACCAGCACGCAGAAATGGCCGCATCGTCCTTGGTGCCCTGAACTCAGAGGGTCTTCTTCTGAAGGGTTGCCAAGATAATTGGTTACAGCTCTGTCTTTTACAGCACGCTCCGATGTAAGGGGGTCTTTGTTTTCAGAACCTGTCCTTCGCTTGAAGTTGAATATGCAAAATGTGGGGACCTGAACCCAATTTTTTGGCAATGTCTTACATTGTGTTCGAGTGTCGGGAGGAGGGAGGGAGGGAGGGAGGCTTATCATGGTTCACTGGCAGGAAAGGATGATTATTGCGATTGTTTGTAGATGATGTAGATGTAACCCTGCGATGATTCTGGCTGTTAATGTGTGTGTATTCAGGAAAACTATTGCCGTGGTACTATAATTGTATTTGAAATGCTTTTATCTGCATCGCTCTTGACAGCACTGGCATTCCAAAGTAGACATCTGTAAGTCCTCTTTACAATGTCTAAAGGGGTCCAGCCCGAATTCATGACATTCCTGGATCCTACGTAACAGTTGTCAAGTTGTCATTTCCGAGGTAGTTGTGTTCTCAACTGCGGTAGCCTGATACACTGGTACCCCTACTTCTTTTCCGAAACCCTCGCCGAGTGAGATGATAAATGCAAGGCTGAAAGTGATCTCAAACTGCCAGTGGTTATAGCCAAGACGCCGACGGGCATCATCCATTCCTTGATCCGAGGCCTATGCTCTGCCTTGGGAATGAGGACAAAGTGGAGCTTGACTGGGCGCGCTCCCTCAAGCCGTCCTCAAGCCGTGTGGCCATAGTAGACTAGAGCCAGTGCAGACCTCATTGAGGAACCCTTGTGTTGAGTCGTTTGTTTGCTATCGTTGTTTTCATGGCAGCATGAAGCAATCAAACCATGCAGACTTGCTTCTCCGCAGGCTTTGATGCTGCTGGCCCTGCATTTGTGGCGCCGCGCTTCTGCCTTGGCAGACCGGAAGGAGTTCCTTGTGGATAATGAGCTCCTTCAGGCCCTTGCATCCTGTACACGCAGAGCATGACGAGTTTGGGATGTGAGCATTTGGGCAGTCGTGCCAAGCATTTTTTTTGACAGGCACCAACGTCAGGCCTGGTGGTTGGGCGCATCAAAGCCTTGACTGAGAGATCTAGGACTCTAGGACTTTCAGCTTTGTAATCTGTTTGTCGTGATTATGTTTATGCTTGAACATGTGCATTGTTTTGCGCATTTCATGTGGTGATCAGGTCAAACCCTGAGCTTAGAATATGCAAAGCATTAGAAAGCTCTGCAGGTCTGAGCTACTTCTTCTCCAAGAACCCAGAAGATGCTGCAGCCACAGCTCAGGATTTGCATTCACATTTTGTGTGGTTGGGAAGGTTGTTAACTCTGACCGAGCTTCGCTTTAGGATAAATCCTGAAAATGAGGTCTGCATGGCAACAAAAGTATGCGCCTATACTGCGGGTGCGGGGACCCGAGCAAAAAGCAGAATCTGAGCCAGCAGGTCGACGCGGGGAAGACAGCCAACTGGGGACAGGCGGGCGGAGCTCCAACACTTCCGCAGGGTTTTTGACTGTTGAACCTGGTACTGTCTCAGTTGTGCCTTGATGTTGTGCGCCTTAGCCGGGGTCATGTTACAACAGCGGGGCATTCTGATGCCGCTGGCCTGAAGAAGATGCACGACGTGATACTTGATCGCAAGGCTGTACGAGCGCTGTTGAACGCGTCTTGCTGATGCTTCGTCTGCTGGATTTGGGGTGTGGGAGCATCGTGGCTTAGGAATTTCCTGCCTGTCGTGTGTACACAGGTTTGGCCTTCAGGCCAAGAGATTTGGGGTAGTGTTTGTGAAAATCATGCTTGACTGGGAGCCTTTCTTGACATTTTACTAGTCTTAATGCCGCATCCTAAAGCTCTGGGGCCCAGCATGGAGGTCGGCTGGCCATGGCAAACCAAAGTCAGCTTCAAGATACCTACAACAGAACCTAGCCTTCCTTTGAACGCGTCTAATATTCAGATAGTGTAGCAAAGATCCTAAGCCCCAAGAACTACCAAGCAGAAAAGCTGCCCAAAAGAATCATTGGGAATGCGTTCCTCTCAGAACTTTGCATTACAACTTGGCAAGCTTCTAACTGTCCTTAAAGCTTATCTTGGTCGGGGAACATCCGTATGTCAAAATACTGGCTTGCGGGAGAACAGGGCTTAAACCCCAAAATTCTTTCTTGGCCCAGGAAACGTGCCTCATATAACTCATATAACTATATCCTACAGAATCTACTGCAGAGTACTCCCCTTAAGTTTGCAAAGGTGGTGTTGGGCAAGAAGCACGGCCAGTGGGTGAAGGTTGGGCAGCTTTTGCCCCAGCTGCGTTTGTTCAGTAGCGACTCCCAGGCTTTAAGAATGGTATATTAATTACACATAGTATATTATGGTTTGTGACATACAATAATTTTTTGTCTATTATATACAGTATTATATAGTATATTATGGTTTGTGACATACAATAATTTTTGGTCTATTATATACAGTATTATATAGTATATTATGGTTTGTGACACAATAATTTTTGGTCTATTATATACAGTATTATATAGTATATTATGGTTTGTGATATACAGTAACTTTTGGTCTATTATATGCAGTATTATATATAGTATGAAGGTCTGCCTAGCCAACGGTCCCCAGGGCAAACGCCTTGTGTTATCTCGGGGAATACGTGTGCCCTGCCGGTCTGAATCTGTATAGTCCACTGGCAAGTCTGAGGATGTCTGAGGTCTTGAACTCAAGATATGAGCCGTATTCTCAACTCCTTAATAGGGGTTATACAGGGGATTGTATAAGGGGCAAATATAGGGGATACATGGGGATATTAAGGGGGATGCTAGGAGTTTAGAATAGTTTAGACTATGGCTCGTATGGTTTGGTACTAGATGTGTATTACAGGGTAAATCACATTGATAGGGAATGTTTAGGATGTAGGCTGGGCCAGAGGTCTGCCAGAAGCCCGTGTATGGGCAAAGATCCTATAGTTTCTAGCCATGGTCAGAAGGTGTACACAGGACGCCCCGTGAGGACGAGTCATGGAAACTCAATAGCTTGCAGAGCGTGGGACGCGTATGCAAAGAACTCCCCAAGTTAGCCCTGTCGGATATGCTCGTTAATGTGTAAAGCAACAGGACACCCGGAAAAGGCAACACCCCCCAATCAAGGATGGGTGGGTTCTGACCACCCTGTAGAGTAAAGCGGCAGGGTAGCCCGAAAAAAAGCCACCCCCGCGACCGCTACCCAGCCATGAAGTTTTGACAGACGCTCATAAACCCTGGCCCATTTCCATTCTGCATGGCATTAGAGTCAGAATGGTCATGCAAGGACGTGCTCAAACGGTTGTGCATCAACATGCTTGTTCTTCATACTTATCCTGGAATCCTGCTCAACTCTGCGAGAGTTGACTGCAGCATGTGAGGTCCCTACCAAAAACAGCCCCACAAGAATATTCAGACACTTATGGGCATCATAACTTCTTTGTTTCTCTACCCTACGTGCCTGAGACCAAGTCAAGTACGAACTGCTAGCGCTAGAATCATGATGCCGCACCTTCTATTGTATCACTGCACCAACTTGCCTACGGTAAGAATTAGCCATGCAAAGCAGAACTGCCCCATCCTAGTTGCTGCTACCTTCCGGCCGTGCTGAACGGAGTTCAAGCCATTCTCTCAGCATGGTCCATCACTTCTGGGTAGATTTTGTGAAGAATAAAGGCACCGCTTCAGCTCGGCGTACATAGGCTGGCTGATGCCAGGCAGGAGTGAAGAGGGGAGGAGGGGCTGCAGGTACTTTGCGAGGATTTCCACCCCTCAGAGGTCGGCAGCGCAAGAGCTCGATGGAAGCCACTCGGCTGCGCAGCCATGTTGTGCCAGCAGGGTACTGCTTACGCTGACCACAGCACGCCGGCATTTTCATGGCACAGGCCCCACTCAAAGCATTCTGGCTTCTGAGAAGAAATATCTGTAGGCTTGAAGCTTCTTTGCCGTCTCCAGCTGTTTGCCACAATAACTCCAACAGCGTCAGAGTGGTGTTCATCGCCGCGATCAGCATTATCAGCAGGAGCGCCAGCGCCAGCGCCAGCGGCAGCGTCAGCAGCAGCAGCAGCAGCAGCAGCAGCAGCAGCAGGTGGAGCGGCACTAGCAGTATCAATTGCAGTGCCGCTACTACCAAACGTGCTTGCTGTTGAATATGCATTAGCCGTGGTGTCGTGCAATCCCAGGCCTGCACTGGAGAGCCAGGTGGGGCAGCATGCAGAAGTTTGCTCTAAGAGCATTAATTGTGTCGAATGCTGTGGCGTTAGGTCCGGGGTTCAAAGCCGTCCAGGGGGGACTACTGGGGAGCTTGTGCCTCGGGTAGGACTGGGGATGTAGAGAGAGGTTCACTTTCGTAGTCTTCATTTTCTGAACCAATTTCACACCAAGCTATCCAAGACATGGTTTCGCTATACAATTCCAGACGGTCCACGAAGGCTGATGCGTAAGGAGAAGAACAAGCGGTCATACAGGAACGACCATCGCGTCGCGCGGTTATCTGCGGACTACAGCCTACGGTGCAGTTCCTTAAGATGTTGCGCTGGGGAAAATAACGGAAAATATAGAATTCGATCCTGTTCCTTGACATGCGTTGGAGCTGAAGGTGCCGAGTAGATGTACTCTTGTGCTGGCTTCATCGTTGACAGAAACCGTGGCAGTAGTGTCGACAGCGACAGTGGTAGTTGCGGCAGCGGCAACTGGTGGTGGTGGTGGTGGTGGTGGTGGTGGTGGTGGTGGTGGTGGTGGTGGTGGTGGTGGTGGTGGTGGTCAGCAGGAGTGGTCCGTGGTAGTAAACGCATGTAGACAAAAGCAGGAAAGGAGAGAAGGGTGCTAAATGAGATCCCACTGCTTAGCGACTGACAAGCCAGGCGCAAGCGGCGCTACCCGGTCAACGCCTCGGCAAAATGAAGCGTGGACTTGCAAGCATCCGCCGTTGACCACGAAGTTTCTAACTGACTCGCTCAGTGCTGTGGGAAGGTGCCAAGTCGAATGATGCATTGACTTTCGCATGCGCAAGGCCACGACGACATTGCAGATCTCACGAAAGATTTGAAGAAGGCCTAGCAATGCACAAATATTGACAACGTGGTTATACTTGCATGAACTGGCTCGGTTCTTGTATAGTCCTTATGCGCGGGTTTCTCTCCAGGCAGGTACTGTACAGGGGACATCCATATGCGGTTCCGGAGGTAAGTAACAACTCCCTACCTCCTGATGAAACAAGCTATGATGTTGCTTGCAGGCAGCTGTCCATGTGTGACCTGCTGGCTTATAGCTCACAGGGCTGGTGCTGAACACAGAAGCGCAGGAGAGCAAACATTTATATAATGAATGACATGCGACTCCGAGGAGCGCGTAATGGGACCGATCAGATATCTCCGACTGCTGATGGATCGGCCAAGAAAGTACTGCTTGCAGTTCTTGCAAAGAATTAGGTATTATTTTTTGAAAGTACTCTGACATGATGTGCCAAGTATGTGCCGTTCTTCAGTCCCGCTACCGCTATTATTCTTGTTATCCTCGAACGAAAACTGTCTGTCATTTCTTTTCTGGCAATTCCCTCGCCGACATCCTGGAGGGGATCGCTTGAACGTGCAGCCAAGACCAAGTACCGTAAACCCTAAACTTCACCCCCACCCCAATCAGAATAAACTGCACCCCACACCCCCAAGACCCCAAACCCCAAAGCAACCCCAAACCCCAATAGCCCCCCAAACCTCCTAACCTAAACCCCAAACTCTGTAAGTCGCGCGCCTCCTGGTTTTCGCGGCCATGGCTCCGGGCGCCCAACGGCGCGAGAGTTCGGAAGCCACCTCAAGGCAAGGAAGTGCCTGAGGGCTTAGGGCGTCAAAGGCTTACAGGGTTTGAAAATGTTTGGAATTAGGGATTTGGGTTTAGGATTCTGGGTTCAGGTTTCTGGATAACCGCTCAGGTTTAGGGTTCTGGGGATACAGGGTTGAGGGAGTTCATACTAGCCTCAACGCAAATGGCTTTGGGCTGTCTGGGTTATTCCTGGAAAGGAAAGTCTACCTTGAGTTGAGGAAAGCCAATGTTCCGAACCCTATTATGTAAATTACTTAAAGCACAGGTGTTATGGTGTGACCATCTTATACAGGCTTCAAGTCTTTTGCTGTTTTCTTTTTACTGCTGGGGGGGTGGCCTTGGAAGAATTATCAGTGTTCGTTGTACAGTTTTCGCCTTTTCTATTTTCATGCTTCTGCGAAGTATCGTGCTTCAAATGCCATTGAATCACGGAGTTCGTTCAGGTTTAGGGGTTTGGGGTTGCTTTTGCGGTTTTTTGATTTCAGGCTGTCATGCTTCAGGTAGATCTTTCCTTGTTGACGGCGGTTGGGGATTAGGGCTTCGAGTTTCAAGCTTAGCTTGTAGGCTATGGCTTAGGTGGACCCCCTACCCAGGAGTAGTGACTAGAATGGGATGGTGACTACATTCGGGTCATATTCCGAGTATATCAGTATTACAGGGTGGGGTCTCCACCTAAGCTACGGATTGAGTTTTGGGGAGCTCGGGTTCAGAAGAGATTCGGTCCAGGTTTCTGCATGGCTTACACCAAGCCAAGGAGAACACATATTAACAGAATAGTACTATCACATTGCTGGGCAATGTGCCGTCAACGGCTTCCGATATCTATCTATCTATCTGTCTATCTGTCTATCTATCTATCTATCTATAGATATATATAGAGTATATAGTGTCCATTTCCTTTTATGCTCCATTTAATTGGGTTTTCCCTAATAGGGGAAGGAAGCCTTTTGGTTGCATGGCTGAACGTGCAAGATCAGCGCGGTACTCGTCGAGTTCAGAGTACCCTGCTGCTAGGTTGGAGTGATTGAGACGCTACTATCGTGCCTGAGTAAGTTGATCGTGCTGCAGGCGGTTCCGACCAGCGCCGCTACTTATTCGGGAGGACCGCTTGGTGAAAGGTTGAGCTCTCGTTTCAGCTTCATCTAGTGTGTTTTTTTGAACCACGCCATCTCAACCAAATCTGTGGGTGAGCAGGCGGCCGTGACCATATTGACCGAAACTCTACATAAGCTTATGGTCCGCAGCCATGCTGCTCCCCAACAGCAGTCACAAGCCACAGCACTTGTTAGTAGCCCTACCGCTGCACTATCGCCATCCGAGCAAAGTCTATCATGCTTGGGTTCTTGGCAGTCAAGTAGGCAGAGTCATGATCCTGCCTGGTGTCCAGGAAAGCGCGGAGAGAGTTGGAGCAGTTGGAGCTAAGCCTGTCCTCTTCTCTTTCGAAGGGTCCC